TTTATGTTTCTTTTTTCCATAATTGGTTCTCTTGGGTTTCATTTCTAGCCTACCCCAACTTGCTCGGGACTAAAAGGCTATGTTGTTGTTGTTGTTTTTCCATAATTGGTGTATCTCAGTCGTGTTTCCTGTCAGTCGTAGTTTAAAAATCCAATTTTATATTGCATTGGATTTCTTTGACCATTTCTCTTCCCAGGATTCTTAATGGCCAACCGAAATTAATGGGACTGAAGGAGTTGCTTCAGGTTATAAGCCCTTGTGATCTCTTGATGATTTGCACATTGTAATCGTATCCTAGATCGTATAGTTCATCAGTTACTTAATATGGGGAATTCAGATCATTGATGAATGTTATGCTTATATTTACTGCTAAATAAGCTTAAGACTTGTTTGATGACATGATCTTAATGATGTTAACTTGATCTTGGTGAACACTTTTACTCACACAAGTACATATTCCCTGAGTATTAGGTTAATTTAATTGTTGGTGAGGTGTTCCTAGTTTTCTTTGTGCAGGCTTTTCTGGATTTTAGATCTTCTGTTGTTGAAAGGCGTGCGAGATATAAGTTATCTCAAGCGCAAAATCGTTATCATATTGTGGAGGTATGCTTACTATTCCAGAAGGTCACTGCTTATATTGTCCATTAACAGCTTTTATTCTACTGAAAGTCACTGGATGAACCTCTTAATTTTAATAAACTAACAGTATAAGGGTAACAACCTTTGCCTGAATCATAAATCATATTAGTAGTTTCTTTCTACTTATTTTATGCATATTAACTGGTGTAGTAGAAACTGATATTCTTTGGCTTGCTTTTGGGTTTGGTGGCATTCTAAGGGTATCATAAAAGGACTTGATAATCTGGACAGAGTCATTGAGGTAATCCGGAATGCTTCTAGCCACGTGTCAGCTTCAACTGATTTAATGAAAGGTAAGTTGCACATGTCCTCATAATAGTTGAGATCGATAGGTGGTAGCCATGGATTTGAACTAACTTCATTTTTCCTCTTTAAGGTAATAGGTAAATTTAATTTAGAAATTGTCATGTGAATTCTGTCATGATGTGTAGCATACTAATTAAATTTTTCTTTCATTTATAAATTGATTTGTTTGCTGTTGCAGAGTTCAACTTCACTGACAAGCAAGCAGAGGCTATATTGGACATAAGCCTCAGACGACTAACATCTCTCGAGGTATTTCAATACGTTCTGATTTGTGACATCTGTTTCGTGCTGCACATGTTCTTTTCTTTTGTTATAATGCACTCTCTCTCTCTCTTGCCCCCCAAAAGAAAAACAGGTTTATTGAGGAAGGAAAATCTCTGTCTGAACAAATATCTAGGCTACGGCAGCTTCTTTCAAGTAAAACGTTAATCCTTGAGGTACTTTTCTGGTCAAACTTAATATTATCTTTTCCTTCAATTCTTTTTTGTTGCATATGATCTTTGCTTACATTTGATTCCATTATCAAGCTCATTATATTATACTAATTGAAATTAAAAGGCCTTTATCATTTGTCTGTTCCCAACTTTAATCCTGTCATCCATTGGAAAAGTTAAACATAAACTCGTTAGTCCATTCACTTTTTCACTTGACGTCCTTTGTGGCACCAATAGAAAGTGATTTGTCAAACTGATGTAGGTTGGTTGTCTTATCAGTGTTTTTTTTGGTTGTTGTACGTAGATGATAGAAATGGAAGCAAAAGAAATAAAGAATAAGTACTCTACTGCAAGGCGTTCAATGCTGGAGGACACTGATAGTGGTCAACTTGAAGATATAGATGTTATCCCCAACGAGGAAATGCTACTGGTACATAATCCATACAGTTGATCTCCAGAAACAAAACAAAAGTATCTACAGGATCCTCAGATTGAAAATTCTATATACTACTTTCAGGCACTTAGTGAAAAAGGCTACCTAAAAAGAATGAGACCGGATACTTTCAATCCTCAGAATCGTGGGACTATTGGAAAATCAGTGGGGAAACTGAGAGTAAATGACACAATGTCTGATTTCATTGTATGCCGCACACATGATCATGTCCTCTATTTCAGGTACTTGATTCCGCTTGATCTTGTTGGACTCTCTTTAGCCATTGATGTCAAAATTAGTCTCCACAGATCATCTATTTGTTTGTCAAAGCATTGCATTTTCTCTTAAATCTATAAATTCGGTCCCTAGTTATTGTTTCAATGAGAAAAAATGCCAGGTTTTATGTTGACACAAATGAGTACTCAACCACGTAAGTATATATATGTTTTTTGTGTCCGCACAACCCACCCACCCGCAGTCATAGAACATTTTGAACAAAATTATAGCTTGTGCAATGCTTCATATAAGTTTATGAATTAAGATTGTCTCGGTGGACTCTTGTATTAGCTTGACTTTGAAACACCTTCTACTTTGTATCTTGGCATGGGTTCGTGTAGTTCATTAGTGTATATTTGTAATTGTTACCTAGCAATGCCATTATGAGTTGCTCCAACCAATGAAGTGATGATTTATTATAAATACTCTAGGCAGATGCTTCATCTTTTCCTTGTAAATTTGTTTCCGTTTAGAGATGTTGGTAGTGAGTGGTACTTATTTCATCCACTATTGTTTTAATCAATAGATACGCTAGTAGTAGCACAACATCCTGTGTATATACGGAGGTTAATTAAGAATTATTTACTTACAAAAAATAAAACAAAACAAAAATAGGAGTTTATAGTTTAAATTATTAAACGCTTATTAAAAATTGCATTATTATTTTTTATTTAGGATGACATACGCTTATTAAAAATTGCATTATTTAGGATGACATACGTCCTAATTGCATTATTATTTTTTATTAAAAATTCCATTATTATTTACTTATTTAGACTTGCTTGTCCTAATATCAAATAATTTTCCTAACTCATCATATAATAACGTTGATCGATATATTTATCTTTGATAAATAATAATTTTATTACTTCTAGTTGGGATTGGTAGTTACTTTTTAATATTTTTATCTTCTTAATGAGTGTCAAATCGAGAATCATCAGAAGATGATTAATTTGTTCTATGATATATGAAAACCGATAGGAAAAAAGTAAAATAAAATAATAATAAGCTTTAAAATATACTTATAATTTAACTTAGATAAGTGTTTCATAATTCTAAATGTCCTCATAGGCATGGATAAATTCCAAATCGACATGGTCTACTCCGGGCTACCTATCATCGATCCATAAGATTACAAAGCATGGGAAATTGACACATAGGATGACAAAGCACTTGAAGTTGACTCCTAGACTCGGGAAATTCTACTATATATAGAGAGGGATATTATTTTCTCCTTTTTGGGCTTAGTCATCAAGAAAACTCTTAATTGAAGATGAACTTTCTCTGGTTATGAATAGTGCTTCATACTATGCATGCTTATCTTATGCAGTGATAAAGGAACAGTGTACTCTGCTCGTGCTTATAAGATCCCAGAATGCAGCAGGGCTGCTGCTGGCACACCTTTAGTCCAGGTATTGCACCATTATTAACCAAAATTTGGCTTATATGTTTATTAGTTTGATCATTGAATTTTTTTAATCCAGATTTTAGCTCTATCTGATGGCGAGAGAGTAACATCAATTATTCCAGTTAGTGAATTTGACGGGGATCAATATCTTATGATGCTAACTATGAATGGATATATCAAGAAAGTTTCCTTACCCTATTTCTCATCGATAAGGTCCACCGGTATCATAGCAATCCAACTGGTTTGTTCAACTCTCTGTTTCTTGGACTTGTGAATATTAATGGGATTGTGGAACCTAATCACAAATTTCAACCTGACAGGTTCCTGGTGATGAATTGAAATGGGTGAGGAGCTGCACAAATGATGATTTTGTGGTGATGGCCTCTCAAAATGGAATGGTTATTATGACTCCTTGCGAAAATGTAAGCCAATTTCTTACCCTTTTTTTTTTTTTTTTTTTNTTTTTCCTCGCTAGTGCAATTTCTTGATGAGTGGCTATTCAGTAAGATGCTTACTGAGAGTTGGAGTTTCAAATCATTTTTCATTTTTTTGTCCATATTTCTCTACTTTTTAGTTCTACCTTTGTATATTATCCACTTGATCATTGGTCTTCGACTGCTCAATATGCCTCAAGCTTAACAGTGATTCATATTATTATTAGTATTATTATTATGGCAAAAAACTTTAAAACCTCCAACCATGGTTCCTAGTATACTTCTCCAAACTTTTTACTAACCCATATCCAAACTAGGAATTCACCCTTCGATCATGCAGCCAGCCTCTTGTGATTCGAGATTCCATGATGTGGGAAAACATGATGGAACATAGAGGGCGTGTTTGGATACAAATATTTTCAATCAAAGTGGATTTTTTGGTTAACTAGAGTTAATTTGAAAAAAGATGGTATGTTAGTTGTTAGTGGGATTTTGAATTTATATTAAAATAATATTTAAAATGAAATAATTAAAATTTATTTGATGTAAAAATAGGAGAGAGATGATATGAAGTGATGGATAGTTAAAATTATGTGAGTGGATGAATAGTAAATTAAAGTAGATGTGATGGTGGTATTATTTAATTATATTGTTTATATTGAGGATAGTGGAGTTGAGTTAAAGTTGAGTTAGATTTTGAGTTGAATGAAATTTTGAGTGAAAACTTTTGTATACAATCATGCCCAGAAAGTGTTTCGTACACTTATGGGCTTTATGATGTAAATACTTTGTTCAGTTGGTTAAGAGTAAAGATCAAATTTTAGATGTGAGCTAAAAAAATGCCTAGTTTGGATGACAATTTTTTACAGTTATGGGTTCATTTGGATGGAAGGGTTTGACCAAAGGACTTCAAATGCATAATGAGAAATTCAATGAGTTTGCTTGCGTACAATTGATGATTCTGAATCTTTATCCTTCAAGATTAATATGTTGTTTTTTTCTAAGATTTCCCAATCCTTTTTATTTGGAGTAATTTGAAAGTGTTGCCTCACTTCACTCCGATGCAAATTCTCTTATCCATTTGGATAAGATTAAGAGATTTGGCTCCTAATATTCTCTCTTGCAATATGTGTTTTTATCTTTTTTCCACCCTCTTTTCCTTCTTGTAGGTTAGAGCACTTGGAAGGAATACTAGAGGGGGAATAGCCATGAGGCTCAAGCCAGGGGATAAAATGGCAAGCATGGACGTAATACCTGCTTCATTGGCTAAACTGTTACACAGAGGCTCAGAGACACAACAGACTCTGTAAATTCTCAATCATTACCTATGTATATGTACATCTTTTTTAGTTCCTTTTTGCGGCATGGAGATTACTATCTCTATACAATATAGCTTTGTTTCGGGCTGAACATTTGCGTAAGTTTTATTTCTTCTGGAAATGTACTATTGTACTCAGCATTCATCTACCCATTGAGCTCCAGAGGATATATGTCTACTGCTGCTTAAGTTTTTAACCTAATATCTTTGGTTCTCCATAATTCATTTAGGTACTAGTCCGTGTGGATGTAGGTTGTGGGTATTCTTGGCTATGAATACAATGAGGTTTCATTTTGTTTTGATGGTCTGCACGAGAGGATTTTTTGCTCTAAACCTGCTGAAATACTTTATCCGCTCTCATTCTCACTGGTCTCATTTACTCACTTTTGCAAAAACAAGATTAATCATTTTCTTACGTTTTCCCACAAGCTACCATTCTGTAATGCCCCCGGGTGCGCCCAAAACTTAGGAGTGGTCCCCACTATACCAACTCGAGTTTTTTAAGCGTGTTTTTTGTCACCCAGCCCTCCATTTTAAATTTCCCAATAGATCACGATCCCTCATTGCTCCAAAGAAAGCACGCTTAACTATGGAGTTTCTGTAGACTAGATACCGGAAGATAAGTTGCATCTTGTTATCAGTCAAGTCTTTTTAAGCTTTTCCAGTTTATCTCATGTCATGCCTCAGGGTATTGCAGTTTTTATTTTCTTTTGATGCTCGCATTGGTGGATGGAATTTATACAAGTTTTAGATGAAATGATGAGTATCTTTTCTAATATCTTGATCATTGTTTCATTTGAGTTAATGTTCAATTTACTTTATGCTGCTCGATAAATGAAGTTCTCCATGTACAAGCTCTCTGAAAATATTTTAAGTTTGTTAATTCTGAAAATCTATTTTTGCATCGGTGGTAAAGTGGCAAGAGTTTTGCTGGTCCTTGGCTGCTGTTCATATCAGAGAACGGCTATGGAAAGCGAGTTCCTCTTGCTAGCTTCCGGACGTCACCACTCAATAGGGTTGGTTTGATAGGTTACAAGGTAGGTTACCTTCTCACCAGATTAATTAGGGACTAGTGAGTGTAATTGTTTATGGATTCATACTGACTGTAGAACATAATGCGTTTTACGTTTGCTTCACTGGATTGTAATCGTCAATATTTTGGTCTGTTCAGTTTTCGGAGGAAGATCGTCTGGCTGCTGTATTTGTAGTGGGATTCTCTGTAGGAGGTGCTATATCTCTTAAATCCTTACATTTCATTTTCTCTAAACAGTTGAGTTTTAGTAACTAAAGACAACTAATTTAATGGTTTAATCAGAGGATGGAGAAAGCAACGAACAAGTAGTGCTGGTCAGTCAAAGTGGAACCGTGAACCGGATCAAAGTTCGGGATATCTCCATCCAGTCTAGATATGCAAGGTAAATAATTTAGAGTTTTGGCACTTTCCAGTGTTCAGGTGTTTCAAGCATTTACCCTTGAGTTGCTTAGTTGGTGCATGACAAATTCCTTAACTAAATCAAGATATGGAGAGATTTTCATCTTTTTCTTCTAGAAAGTAGGGTTCACTATCCCTTTAATCTATATCTCTGATTAGTTTCATGCCCTTACTTCGGTCACCTAAACCAGGATTTTTGAGGGATCACTGCCTACATCCCTTTTTGTTTCTGCCTTTTCTGTTCCTTTCTTTTATATTTTACTAGGGGTTTTGAGCTGCTGCATTACCGACATCCATTTTTGTTTCTGCTGTCCTGTCCTTTATTTTCACATTTTTTTTTTGCTTTTTTTTTTGTTTCCTCTTCTTTTTTCTTTTTCCTTCTGTTCCTTTGGGGTTGGGCCCTTTTTATCATATTTTTCTTTTGTTTGTATTTTGATTTTGAGTTTCTCTTTTCATTTTCTTTTTGTGTTTCTCCTTTTCATTTTTAGTTTATGTTTTTAATGTTTTTCTGTTTTTTTTAATTTAAATTGTCGTGTCTCTATTTTATGCGTCCTATTTTAGTTTATTTTATTTTTGTTTCTAATGTCATGTTTTTTGTTCTAGTTTTATTTTGAATTCTATTTCAAATGTCACACTTTTGAGATATTTGATGTTTTTGCCATTTGAATTTCAAATTATGCAATTGCACTATCTATATTATTGTTTTTCTTTCCCTTTAGTGCCATGTGTTGCCGAGGTCTCGCCATTCCATGGGCAAAGCATCTCCCATCCGCCATTTAATTACTGTAGATATAACCCTTTCTTTTAGGACTGAGTTTTTCTGAGTTGAGCATTACAAGTTTGCTATCTCTGTGTTCTTACTATTTCAGGAAACATGAAATACACTTTACAATAGTTAGGTTACTCTGGTATTTTGTACTGCAATCGAATTAGATTATGAAAACTGTGGCACAAAATATTAAGTTTGGCTTGATTGTTTGGGTTCTAATTCCCTCCCCAATCTTAGGCAGTTGAGCCAAAATATTGTTGTAATGGAGTAGGTACTGTGTTATCCAAGAGATTGTTTTTTATTTTTTTGGATGTTGGGTTATGCATTAGTTTCCTGGGTTGAGAAAATTTTGCATTGTAAAAATCATTAGGGAAAATATTGGGTAAAAGAATTTGAATAGTGGAGTTTCTGTATGCTTTTGTATTTATATTAATTACAACATGAAAGAAATGTTGTTATTTGCCGCAGTTTATTCATTGATAGATGTATTCACTTGTGCAGGGGTGTGATTCTGATGCGCCTTGAGTATGCCGGAAAAATTCAGTCAGCTTCCTTAATATCAGCCACCGAAATTGAGAGTGAGGAGGAATTGCAGGAGGCCTCAGCATGAAAAGAACACAAATTATGAATTTGCTTTTGTAGAATTCTAGAGTAATATTTTATTTTCTAGTTTTGTAAGGATCTTAGACAGCTACTTGCATGTTGACAGCTTTCCAAAAATGTTGCTCGTCCATTTCTCTTTCTTCCAGTTGCTCGCACTTCTATAAATTAGTGGTTTCTTATCTTATATTATTTGTTTTGTCAGTATATCTGTTTGAGAAAATTACTCCCTCGACGATAGCTTCCATATTTTACGCGCCTATGAGATAAGATAGATTGCTTGGATATTAAAACAAAATCAATAGATTGCTTGGATATCACCTTCTGAATCTTCCTACAAAAGTACTTTTTCACTTTTCCAATTTCTCAACCTATATCGGCCAAAAAAAAAGTGATCATTGAGAAAACTCGCTCGAGTTTGTGCAGCTCGAGTGAAACCCTCCTTCAATTGAAAATTGATGCAGAAAAAGATCTAATTTAGAAAAATTGACGATAGTGTAAATAAAATCCAATACTCAATTGAAAGCTAGATGCATTCGTGCTCCTACACGCTTGGCCTTGGCGAGCCGAACATCGCCGGAAAATCGAGCATCGACTATGACGCCATCTGCAAACTGGCCGAGATCCACAATTTGAAAAAATGCCCAATCGACGACGACTCGAAAAACCTCGAAAATCATCGTGGGTATGCGTGACGAATATCCTCCTGGCGAGAATATTCGACTGCAACTGTGTGCATGACATATATGTTCTGTCAATTGCCTCAATATTTAGAAACTTCCATATCATGTTTATCTGGTGTATATATACAATATATATATATGTTCCATTAATTGCCTCAAAATTAGAAACTGTTAGATCATGTTTATATAATGTATATATACAGTGTATCTGAACATATTTCAGCATAGTATGTGCAGGCGAATCTTCTGTAAAAACCATCACCATCTGAATCTTCCAGTGCCGTTTCCAGACATCTTACTACATCTTACTATTGCTATATTACACACAGACCACAAACGGTGGCAAAGACATTGGTACGATGCTTCCAACAGATCCAAGTGTTCTAGAGTTGTTTATCTCAAGTTTATCCGAAAAATGTTGCTTGTCTCCGTTTGCTCGCACTTCTATAAATTAGTGGTTTCTTATCTTTTATTATTTGTTTTGTCAGTATATTTGTTTCCTATTTTTTATTCCAAGAACGATAGGATATCTCATAAAATCAAAGGGAGAACAGAGTTCAATATATACAAGTACTAGCCACTACTTATACAAGTTGGTTAAACATACAACAAGAGAATACACTAGTAAATAATTGAGCCCTCCAGTGAGTATACATCCAAGAGAATGAAATAACACGAAGACAAACAAAAATATCTAACCACTGAACTACCAAAGCAGACCTAGATAGAACTATCAACTTGCTTCTGGCACATAAATGTTGAGTCCATATCATGTTGGTTATATTTTGAAGGGTAAAATAAATGTTCATTCACGTCGTTATCTTGATGATTTTTCAAAATGCTTCTCTATCAATAGGTAAAATTCAAAACCCCGGTCGATAATCAAATGGTGCGAGAAAATCAAATGATGGGAGAAAATTGTTTAGAAAAAGAAGCATTACGTGGCATGGTAAATTCAATGTAGGAGAGTTGTACATTCTGTATGTATGTTTGATTCTCACAAGGTATCTTACAAATATTGAGAAACTTTCCACATACTCTTCTCAGCCTACCTAGAGTTCCATTACTTCTACAGTAGTGTAAGAGAGACTGCGGCAGACCGGAGACGAACACCATCCTTCTCCCATCTATTCTCAGGTGCAGCAGCTCCCGCAATTATTGCCTAAATAATGAAAAAATATAGAAGTATTAATCAAATAAGAATGCAAAAAAAGTAAAGAGTTCCAAGAATATAATGAAAGTATATGAATGTCAAAGTTTCACCTTCCCACTACTTACAGCAGCTACAAGTGCAACATGCTGTTCGTCCATTCCAAACTCGTAGAAGTAATAATTCCTGAAATAGTTAATGCATATCAAATTACCAATGCATGAAGAAAAAGGGCTCACTGTTAATATTCAAAGATGGGCTCATCAACTTAATTGGAAATGAAAAGGAGGATGTTACAAGTTAAATGAACTAAAAATTAAATGAATGGTGGAATGAGACCTTGCAGCTGTTTTTACGTAAAAATACCTGTAACTCTCGTCTTCCTTAATTTTGATTGAACGGGCTGAGTACAAAGTAGCTCCACCTGCACAATATGACATTATTATTATTATTATTAAACAATGCTATTGCCTTTTCGTTAATAAATCATTCACAAAGAGAGTACCCGGAACGAATATCTTAGCTGTCTCCTTCAGTGAACCTAAATCAGCAATGTCTTTGGCCTGTCCGAATCAGACACGGAATACAACACTATAAATTACAGTTTTGATATATTTTTTAATGTGCAAAATTCATGTCAAAGTGGGCGAAAAATTCACTTGTACACCCATTTCACAATCATTGAAATGGCTTGCATCATAGACTTATGAAAGAAACATTAAAATGTTTATATTATTCTGCAGACAACAAATGGACCAAACTTCAAACAAAGTAACATACCAAAGGTCACGATACATCGTAATTCTTTACACACACAATTAAATTCACAAACCTCCAAAAAGGTGAGCTTTAGTTGATTAGATGGCCGAATTACAACACTGACAACTTCAGATCTGTGTGAACAAAGTGTCAGGATTCAAGACGACATGACCAAGTAAAAAAAGAATGAGTTAGCTAAACCAACCCAAAGTTATTTGATCTGTTGCAAGATTGATGGCAAACAAAAAATACTTTGTTTCACTAACTTAAGTACTTAAAAACGGATTTTCCATCCACTTACAACAACAAAATTGACCTTGAAGCATCACATGGATTGCTTAGAAGTTGCTGAACTCCTATAATCCACACTAGACAATGAAATGCAAAATTGAACCAAGTAAAAACTAAGTTGATCTTTTTCCTCTGTCTTTCAGACATCAATTATACTCTAATCAACGGTAACTGTAACCTTTAGGATGAAGACACCATGCCCTAAATCAACTAAAATCGAGATCAAAGTAGCAATCTTCATGAAAGAGGTGTCTCTGAAACATAAAGTAATAGTCATTATCTGATTCTAAAGATTAATGGAACCCATGATATCTGGTGGTACATATCAGTTGAACAACATTCAGTGACAAATTTATCCAGTGGCACTATCATAGAGAGTTTGCAGCAAGAACAGAATTTACCCATCAGAAGATGCAAAGCGAGCAGCATAAGTCTTTGGTTTAGCTTTATCTCCATAGAGAGCTAGTCCAACATTGTAGTCCTACAAAATCCACTAGACCGTATGTCATAGCGTAATAACTGAAGTTCAGATATTATTGTCACAATACATCATATATGCTTCAATAAAATTGCAATACTATTACAGTAATCAACAATGAGTGGAAAATGTGTAATAATATTGAAGTGAGAGACGAGAACATAAAAATGCTTCGGAAATTAGAAAAAAAAAAAGAAAAAGACGGAATGCAAGTATTGATTCCACTATCAAAGACCAATGTTAATGCTAAAGGACATGCGAGATAGATAACAGTTACGGAATTCCTGAAGTCTGGACATAGTTGGGTTCAGAACAAATGATGCAAATAACTTTTAGTCCTTTAAACTTAGGTAAGGAAGATCATCATGTTTCCAAATGTATCTTACTAATAAACAAATCAAAAGAAAAAAAAAAAAAAAAAAAAAAAATTGATGGAGGCTCTTCGTGGCCTTTTAAAATTTGTGGTATTTCTACTTCTGTCAAATAATCAATTTTCCTTCATAAACCTCACTGAATTTTATCTAAGTGAATAAAGAAATCGAAATGCATAACATAAACCATGACTTCGGAGTGTTTAAGCTCGTGTAATTTATCTTCAAATTCAAAATCATAATAAGTTTGATAAGACAGAGTTCAGTTTTTCCAATTAGAAATCCAGTCTCTATCATTGACAAATAACAAATTAGAAAATCAAACTAAGAATACATCCATGTGTCTCAAAAAACCAGTCTTTAGGAACTATAGCTAATATGCCCAGCCCCACCTGTACGAATCAGAGACACTTCATTAAACAGCACAATTATGCGAAGATTTTTGAAATGGTTCCTGAAAACCGGAACTTGGAATAAAGAACATAGAAAATAAAAAACAAAGAAAAACACAACATAAAATTGAAGAGAAGACATCAAGGTAGGCGGACCTCAGGTTCCATGATGTCCTGAAAGTCTGGGGGAACACGAATTGCGAAGCCATCGCCATAGAACTGGAACCAAGACCGGGTGTTTGCAATGCCCGATAGAAAATAGCTCGAAGATGTAGGAGATGTTGATGGCAATGGTGTTTCAGCCAGTACAGATGAAGCAGAACAAATCTGCAATGCGGCGAGAATTAAACTTCTTTTCGTGAAAAGCGTAGCATTTGAGATGTTATTGAGTTTTGGGATAGTTGGTTGTGGTGGAGGAGGAGTGGGAGATGAGGGAAGAAGGATTCTGCAGATATCCATAGCCATAAGAGGAAATATTGGATGGAATATATATATCCTCATATCTATTCTATTCTTATTCAAGCCATAAAAAAAATTTCATACACCATGTTGCACGATTTTGGACCATATCAAAACAGATATATTAAGGGTCCGTTTTGTTGGGTTTATTAGGTTTGATATCACTTTATTTGTTATTTTATCAAGAAAATTAAGTTGTTTGGTTCGACACTTTTTGGCCCTGAAAATTGAACTTGGCCGAGACCAATATCCCTTAGAGCATCTTTAGTCATACTATTTTATAAACTTTCATAAATCTCACTTTTACATTTCCCAACATGCTACATCATCCAAAACTTCATCCTCATTTCTAAACCTCCAATAACCATAAATCTCATAAACGTCATTTTTCATGGTCCCACATGTTTCCCACTTATACTTATTTAATATTATACTCCCTCTTATTTTTAATAAATGTCGTTTTGAGAAGTTGCGCAATAATTAAGAATATTTTGTTTGCGAATAATAACCTTCATTAATGAGGATAAAGATTGATATTTTGAGAAAAGATGGAGAGTGAATATGAAAAGACGTAGTGTATTTATTAGTTAGATGAGGGCAATAATGAAAAAATATGTACAAAATAGCCAAAACAACATTTATTTAACAAATGATCAATTAAGCTAGGATGACAAATAATAAAAATAGAAGGGAGTACAATTTATATACTTATATTTTTATTAATATTTTAAAACTACAACTCTACTTTTTATTTTTTAAATGTAAATATTTCATATATTTGTAAAAAAATATATCTAAAAAAATAATATAATTATATATAATTATATAGTGTTAAGTACATACGAATGTATAGTTTTCCTTATAAAAATTTCGAAACATAGAACTTACATAATGTTGAAAATTATATTTTGAGTACAAATCTGTTCTAAATATTAATCTTGGGAAATAGGTTCATTCCAAATGTTAATAAAATAAAATAAAAAATAGTTGAATTTTACAAAAATAAAATTTCAAGTTTTACCAATAAAGTTAATAAGAATCAATTAATAAATAATTCTTACTTTTCAATTAAATAATTATTCTTTAACAAATAAGTCTTCTTTTTATGTGGTGGGGCTCAACCATGATGGAGTATGGACAATTAAAAAAAAAAGGTAAGACGTGTTAGTGGAGCAGGTGGGCCACGGTAAGGTTTTGGAGAAGTTCGAGTTTGTAAAGTTGGTTTGAAAACTCAAACCTCAAACCTGCCTACTTTAAGGCAAAAGACATAACAGTTCCATTTATAAAAATGAATTCCATTGAAGTCATCGGACAGACAGAATTCCAAAAATGGCACGATCGGAAGTTACAAATAAAACAATCAATTCAAAATTTAAAATCAATAACTGCTCTATCTCTCTTTCTCATTTCTTTCTCTTTATTCCTTCTCTCTCTCCTATCTATATTTTCACCTTTTTTCTTCTTTCTTCTCTTCTTCTTCTTCTTCTTCTTCTTCAATCTTGAACGTCTAAGAATAAAAACAACAAAAAAATAAAAATTGATCAATTGTTTATACATATTCATAACAATTTAAAAAGCAATAGAAATGTTTGTTATTGTAAGTTAAAAAAATAATAATATATATTATGAAAACAACAAACAAGATAAGTAACAAGAAAACAACTATGAAAACAAGATAAGTAACAAGAAAACAACAATATAACATTTATGAAGCAACATGAAAACAACTATGTATAAACAATAAAATATAATGGTCTGTTGATTAATATTTATAAAGGCACTCAAAATTCGCATACACAAATCCATTTCCCAGGAAAATTAAACTATCATATGGATTTATAAATTCATAAAATAAATCTTTTACTTAACCATAAATTAAAAACCACATCACCAAGAAATAATTTGATAAATTTACAAACACTTTACCTCCGAGTTCCCAAAATAAATTATGAGAAAAATCAATTTCAGTTCCCCATTTTTGGCCGCACGGTAGAGATACAAAAATTGGAAAAACACATCAAATTTACCAAAAGAGTTTAATTAATTCGAAAGTCAATTGTTCATTAAACTAAATCAATTTACATAACAAACACACACACAAGGATTGAAATCTATTTTTTCTTACCAGATTATGGTGGCGGTGGACGTGAGCTTCAAGTTTTGAGTTATAGCTTGAGCGCTACGGTGGCCGCCAGGTGGTGAGCATAGTCTTATTTGGATTTTGTTCGTCTGTTTAGGGACCTAAACAAACCGTTTACTCCGATTTGTCAATGTTTGGAGCTTCCAAACCAATTACTTGCCTGGGCCGGAACCACGCACACAATATTTCAATCGTCAATTAAATTGGAAGAACAATAAAAAAAATCTAGTTTTTTCATGAGTATACTTGTGTGAATTTAAAGAAGAAGAAAAAAAGAGAGAAAAGAATGGAGAAAGCGATTGGAGAAAGGAGGAAACTGGTTATTTGCGGAGAGAAGAAAGAAATGTGTAAAATAAAAAGAAAGAAGAGAGAGAAAAAAATTAAAAATAACTGCAAAAAAAAAGAAGCATATTACTGTAATTAGGAACGTGTAAGTAGGAAACAAATATGCCTTTTAAGGAAACAATGAAATGGTATGATCAAAATGTAAACAAATTTTGAAAAAGTCCACAGGGTGTCTTTAAATCTTTACCATAAACCTGAGAGGTTTATGTTTTCAAACCTCCCAAAAACCCACCACTAAAGATGCCCTTAGAATGTTATTATCATATCCCACCAAACTAGTGTGTATCCCGTGCGATACACGGGTAAATAATATTAAATAATAATTATAAATTAAAGATGAGCGTAAACAATATTAACTAATAATTATAAATTGAAGGAGTCACAGCTGGACTGGGATAGCATGAAGATTCCAGGCTGCAGCTTCAAAGACTGGTGGGGCTCAATTTGTTCTATCAAGCAGACTGCCATTGATGAGGCTAGGATAGAGCTCACCACATATATGCTGTGGTGGCTCTGGAAGTCAAGAAACCTTTGGGTATTTGATAAATCTTGGAGGAATGAAAGAAGCATACTGTCAGGAGCTTGGGGAGAATGGCAAGAAGCTGTTAGAGTTGGTACCAAGAGAAAGATCGAGGGACAAGGAAGCCTAGCTAGGTCTGTTTAGGCAGTGCAGTGGCTTGTTCTCCTTTCCTTTTTTCTTCTGGGTTTGAGTCTTTCATTTTCTGTATCTTGCTTATGTAACACTGGGGGGTTCAGGTTAATTTCACTGCCTTTGGTGTTCGTTTATTGTTTGTATTCTAGCCTGCTATTATTAGTAGTGCTCCCTGGCTTTGCCTTCGATTGTAGGTTGTTGAACTATTTGTATCAGAACTCTTTGTTTGCTTTATGAGAATTTCCTATCGTTTCAGAAAAAAAAAGGTGTGGAGTTAATATATGATATAATTTATCGCATTTAGAAAATTATCTTGTATAAAGAATTTACGAAAATGTATTAAACACGCTTAAATTATTATATAACGTAGGTAAAAGTATCTAAAATTTTATATATCATTATTGAAAGATGTGAAATATGTGTGAAGTCACCTAAAATTAAACCTTATATCACATGTGCAAAAGTACCTGAAATATTCTATTTTATTTTTGAAATATGCGTGAAGTCACCTAATATTTTTAAAAGTAACTAAAATATTATATATGTTAATAATATTACAACATGAATGTAGGGATTCTCTCTCATGGGAGCAGTTTCCGGCGATTATCTCTCATGGGATCGTTCTTCTGATTTTTGATTATTGATCTTGTTCTTTGCGAAATTGTTCCAACATTGTCTCAGGCGATACGGAATACGACGTGATGGATTCTAAAATTGTGGGTAGAGATGAAGATTTGGCTAATCGGCTCCAAGGGTTTTCCCTTTCATCGAAGGAAGCTCTGATCACGGACATTAAGCAAGATGATATCAAGCTAAGTGCTGAAGAATGCAGTCGTAGCTTATTCGGGAAAGTAGTAGGGGACCGAACAGCCAGTTGGATTGGCATCAAAAGGACGATGAATAACATTTGGCGGCTTCATCACCCAATGGAAGTTAAGGAATTGGGCCACAATTTTTTCCAATTCCTATTCCACAACCGGGATGACATGAAAAGGGTTGCAAATGGGACGAACTGGATTTTTGACAACCAGTATCTCATATTGCGAGAGTGGGAAAAAGGGCTCACCAGCAAGCATCATAGTTTTCAAGAGCTCAACTTATGGGCTCATGTTTTTAATCTGCCACTCGATTGGATCAGTGCTGAGGTGGGTCTCAAGCTCAGTACTGTCTTCTCGGAAGTTAAGAATGTGGTGGTTGTCAACGCTGGTGCCCATGGAGGTAAGATTCTAAAGCTTCTAGTTTCTGTTAATATTGCTGAGTCTTTGCCTAGATGTACTAATATCAGACTTGGAGAAGACATTGTTACTGTGGGTTTTAAGTATGAGAGGCTGGTGAATCTGTGTTACTACTGTGGGCTTATTGGGCATTTGGATAGAGGCTGTTCTAAAAGGCTAGAAGATATTAAATACCAAAGATTGAAAGATGGTCAATATGGTGATTGGATAAAAGTGGAAGAGAATCATTACTGGCAAAATTCTAGTCACTCTAACTCCAGGCAGTCTCCTCCCTCGGGCCACACTCCTACTGGAGCTAACACTTCTCATCCTTCTAGCTCTAATGACTCGCAGGGTAGGAGAGATAAGGCCTCACAGGAGCAAAAGGAAACGGCTAATGACCAGCTTCAAGATACAGTAGCCTCCAACTCAGATATGCAGGCTATCCAACAGAACAATCAGTTAGCTCTTTCAGAACAAGTCTCTTCTCATACAGCTCCTGCCATGGTCATTATGCCGAGAGACCATACTGACCAAGAGGACTCCAGACTTATGAAAATCGAACTTAACATGCCAGGACTGCCAGGGCTTTCTAATCCTATAACAAAGAAGGAGAAGGCTAAGGGCTTAGTAGTATCCAAAGTTTCCACTTGGAAAAGGTCTGCTAGCAAAGAAGGCAGACTGCAAAGACAGGTGGACACAAATCTAGAGGTGGGAGTTGTCTCAGGGTCTA